AGAAGTCTACTGGAGCCACTGGCTGGCCTAAAGTACCTGCCCTGCCTGCCCAAGGAGAACCCCACCTCAACCACACCACAGGCCACTCATTATATGGAACTCAGCCTCCATCATAAAGGGCAGTTTTTATAATCCTTGGAGCCATGTGACACAGAAGAGGGGAACTGACTGTCCCTGGGAAGTGCTTGTCACTCCCTCCAGCTCCAGTTGGGCAAAAATGTTTTCTTTTTCATTGCATAAGAAGCTCCCAGTGGTGAAAACCTGACCCCATGGACAGGAGGCGAGAAAAGGCCTGTGGACGTGAGTCAGAAGCGAGGGGCTGTGTGATTGTGGAAAGGCACTGGGCGGGCAAGTGGGAGCTACAGGGTCAGCTCGCTGACCACACGTGACTGCAAACAAGCAAGGGAAAGGAAAACAAGCTCTGCCCAAAATCAAAGCCAGAGTGTTCTGCTTGGCAGGGGCCCTTCATTCCTCCAGAGGCACTCACTCTGCAGAAGTGGTTCTGGGCAGCGCTGTTCCAAGGGGAAGAGCCAGGGCAAAGCACTCAGGGTGCTCCCACCCCTGCCTACTCCAGCCAGGCCTGCTGTGCAGGGCTGCAGTGAGGGGCCAAGGAGAGAAGAAGAGAGGAGGCCAAGGTTTGTAAGCCTCAAGGGAGTGTGCAGGGGAAACGAAGCAGGAATTCAGGTCTAGACATCAGAACCAACATAGCTGTGGGATCAGAAAGCAGGTGGTAGGCCCCACTCGCCCCAGAACTCAAAGGGCCTAACCCCTCAGTGCCTAGCTTTTTCCTCCTGTCCAGTGAGAACGGTCACCTGCTAAGGGTCTGAATCGCTTATGTGGGTTTCTGATGCCACCTGAGAGGGGAGATGCCAGTGTCTAGAACCTCACACGTGTAAGCTGATAATACCAGAGGAAAGAGAAAGCACTCCCCCTCACATACACACACACACACACACACAACCACCACCACCCCTCCATCCCATATGGTTTCTGTAAGGATCACCTTGCCCCTAGTAATTCCATGCTTAGAGAACTATCAGAATGAAATCACCTTAAATACAGAAAATAGCTTGTATGTATATGGATACACATCACATGTTCAAACCAATAGAAATTGTCTAGGTAGCAGAGAACAGAGAAATGATAACATGGATCTCGTTTCAGCTATTGACAGAACCAATCAGAGAATTTTAATTTTATACATGAGGAAGGAGCCTCAGCGGTGCAGTGGTAAAAACTCTCACCTGCTAACCAGAAGACAGGCAGTTCAAATCCACCAACCAGTTTGTAGGAGAAATATGTGGCAGTTTCTATAAAGATTTGCAACCTGGCAAACCCTATGGGTCAGTTCTACTCAGTCCTCTTGGGTGGTAAGAAGACTAGAAGATAATCAGAGTATTAACAGTGATGATGTTTACAGAGCAGTAAGGGAAAACCCATGTTTTTCTTTTACTACTTTTAATGTACTTTTCAGATATTCTTTTGTGGATTTTACTTTTAAAATAGAAATTTTTTTTAATATTTTAAAAGTCATTTAAGTGAGGAAGGATGATGCTTATGATACAGAAGACACAGGGAAGGAGAGGTTTGGACATAGAGAAACAACCTAGATTTTTACAGCAAACACTGGATGGGAGTTCCTGGGGGACAGAACTCAGCTAAGCTTTCTAAACCCTCCGGGTGGGCCTGTGGGCTTGTAACCAACCCACTCAGGCCCCCATTCTCACTTTCTAGGAGAAAAAAACAAAAAAGAACTTTGAAAAAGAAACAAAATAATCAAAAGGGCAGGAATGCAGCAATTACACAAGAACAAAACCATCAACCTAAGCACAAAGCAATTCCATAATTAAAAAAAAAAAAAAGCAGCAATAAAAACTATGATAAACTCAAGGCGGCACTAATGATGCCTGAAAGCAAAGTATCCTTCTGAAAATTGCAGGAATTCCAAATGGTCGGCCCAGTCAGAGCTTTGAAGAGCTGCCAAGTGTTGTGTGGTGGTCAGATTTCTCAGCAGATCACATTCAGACGCCACAGGACACTACAGGGCTGCTCATTTGATATTATGACTGTCACATTTTAGGAGGGAACTAGCAATAACTTCCTTCTTAGGAAGTGGACCTTGGGCATAAGTTTGTCTAAAGAGCCCAAGAAATGACTTAGCGTTTAGTCTACCTGAGGCACAAAAGCAAGTCCTTCCCCATCTCCAGAGGGCCAAGGACCACGTGTGGAGAGAAGCTGGTGATCTAATCCAACCATTGTGTACATACCAGGCAGGGGACAGTCCAAGGGTCAAAGTAGACATGCTGGTGTAACAAAAAGCTGGAGGAATGACATCCTGGGTGCCCCTAACTACTGCTACCTCCCCAGTCTTCTGTTGTCCTTTGGTGGGTCCTCTCACATCACAATGCCAATCCTGAACATTCAGTCCCTGAAAACCCAGTTGCCATTGATTCGACTCTGACTCACAGTGACCCCATATGTGTCAGAGTAGAATTGTGCTCCACAGCATTTCCAATGGCTGATCTTCAGAATTAGATCACCAAGCTTTTAGTCCAGGGCACCTCTGGATGCATGAGAACTACCAACCTTTCAGTGAGCACTTGAGTGATCAAGTTAGCCATTTGCACCACCCAGGGATTCTAGTCAGGACCTCTAGATTTGTCTAACAGTCATTTCAAACTTGTTTAGTCACTGAACCCTGAGACAAACCAAAAAGATCCTGCTCTAAAATAGAATCCTGATATATTAAGCAGATCAAGATGAAATGATAGGAATGGGGGCAAGGAAGAGGGGTAACCTAAGAATAAAACCCCTCTTACTTTGACTTCCAGAACTACAGAAACCCTTATGGGAATTCTTAGATCCCAGGACTCCTCAGAATGCAAGCTGGAACTGCTTACTACTGCTACTAGTGCAACCTCTGCATCCTACAGGCAGGAAACTGAGTTCAAGACAAAGTGGCACCATCAAAGGCACCCAGGAGGCTAGTGGCAGAGCCATGACCAGCTCCTACGCCTGCCTTCCTTCGTTTCTAGGAGAGCAGGAACTACACCATCCTAAGTCTGAGTTGTCCACAGAACCTGCACTGGGCCTGGCCCAAGAAGTCACATACAGGACACCTTAGGAGGACAGAAGTAAATGCTATTTGAAGAAGTAGAGCTCCAAGTCAGACAGACTTGTGTTCAAATCTCAGCTCTGCCACCCAAATGGGTTTCTAACCCTGGGCAAGACACTTTAACTCCTCAGTTGGTTCTGATCTTTAGTCTCACAGGGCTAGTGGGGGCACTGGATGAGGGAACAGAGCTGAACTTGGTTTACTGTAAAGAATCATACATGCTAGTTCTTCTCCTTACATCCTTTTGGTGTGCTAGTCTCTTGTCTCCTTCAGAATCCAGGGCAACGAAGTCCCCTGAACCTTTGTCTTACAGCTAGCAGAGCATCCAGAGGCATCCAGGCTGCAGGAAATTGCCTTGTGGAGACAAGGTCTTACGCAAAATGAATGAATGTGGTTTTCCGGAGGTAGACAACCTGACAAATGGAAAGAGCTTCAACGTTCAGCTCCTGCTTTACCAATTCCCCTTTTCCTTGTGGTCTGCTGAACTGAATCAGCAGCGTTCCTGCAAATGGCCTGGTGGTCTCCAGGCCCAATCAGGTCCTACCTGGTCTGGGGCCTGCTGGAAACATCACCACCTGCCACAACTCAGGTAGCTGCTCCCAAGACCCTGCAACTCCTCTCTTCTCATCTCCAACAGACTCAAGTCAAGGTGCACTGTGGCCAGAAACTGGGCACTAGCCAGGTCTCCAGCACCAACCAAGGGCCATTCAGAAGAGAACTGAGAATGGAAGGAAACTTATGAATGAGAGCCCCACCCACAAAGGCATCCAGTGCTGAGATGGCCAGACTTGCCTGTCCCCGCACTCCTGTACTAACCAGACCCACCTGTCCCCGCACTCCTGCACTGACCACACCCGCCTGTCCCCGCACTCCTGCGCTGACCACACCCGCCTGTCCCCGCACTCCTGTACTAACCAGACCCACCACAGACTGAACAGTCACATTTCTTCTTCCCTGGCACAGAAATCCAGAAAATCATTTTAATTGTATGTTGTTCCGACTCATAGACGCCCTGTACAGGGTTTCTAAGGAGCGGCTGGTGGGTCTGAACTACTGACCTTGTGATCCAAATTGACCTTGCAGTCCTTGCATTAACCAGCAATGCCACACCAAGACTCCTTTAATTGTCTATCAGCCACAAAAACAAATGCTAAAAACCCCCAAGTCCACTGCCATTAGGTCAATTCTGATTCACAACGACCCTATAGGGTTTCCAAGGCTTTAATTTGTGTGGAGCTCTGGTAGTATAGTCGATTGAGCTGGGCTGCTAACCACAAGGTCAGCAGTTCGAAGCTACCAGCTGTTCCACATGAGACAGATGAGGCTTTCTGTTCCCGTAAAGATCTGCAGAGTCTCTATGGGTCGGAACCAACTCCACGGCACACCACCTCCAGTTTTTACAGAAGCAGACTGCCACATCTTTGTCCCATGGAGCAGCTGGGGAAACTTCACACTGCAAACCTTTCAATTCGTAGCCAAGTGCTTAAACCACTGTGGCATACCCTCACACACAGACATAATCATTTAAAAACTGCTAAGTATAGATTCAAACTAGAAAGAATGAGATCAGAGATTTGGATGGAGGATCAGCTAGTTCAACCTGTCATTGTACAGATGTGAGAACTGAGGTAGAGTTAAGACTGACCCAGATTCCCTACGTCCAGAACAGCACAGTGCACAACTTGTACTGCATCCTTACAAATGGGTCCACAAGCTATGTAGCCCAGGCCTGGCCCTTGACTCCTTGGGAAGAAGGCTCTATTAGACAAAGGGCTTTGCTGGCTCTCTCCCACTGCCTATCATGTGTAATGAAGCTCTTATATCTGATACAGGGAAATGGCTGGAGCCAGGGACGTCAACACAGAAGTCAAACACAGGGTTTTACCTTTGGGCATGATCTGATGCATGGCCACCGAGAGGAAGAAGATGGAGTCGCTGTAATATGTCCCTGAGCCAGCGCTGAAGTGCTTCTGCATGGCTGCCACGACCGGGAAGAGCTTGTCTGTCAGCACAGCAACATCATGGAAGATGACCTGCAGCAGGGTGGGCGGGACAGAGTCACGGAGTGAGCAACCTGGCCCTCAACTGCACTGTGAACACAGCAGCACACACGTGAGCCCACGAAAGGGTAAACAGATGCTGGAGCCTCCAAGGTCCAGGAGCCTGGGCTGAGAGTGGGGGCTCCAACTGAGTTCAGAAAACAGGGAATGGTGAGTCAGAGTCAAGGCTGGCTATGGGGCCTAGGGCCTCATGTGAAGAGGGGTGGGTGCTACAGACATGTGTGGGAGGATACGTGTGGTGGAAGAACTATCAGAGGGAGGACAGGAAATGGAAATATTCCCCAGTCTGCTTTTCTGCTCCAGAATCTCAAGCAGGACCATCATGAAAGCAACTTTGTGCCCAGTGCCTGGAAACCGTGTTCCACTGTCTGGTCCTAAAATTCTGGACCAGACCTTCTGCAGGTCTGGGTGACCAACACTTCTCCATGGATGGCCACCTCCCCGGGGTCCATCATGCCCCCCAGGCAGGCCAGATGGTCCAGCTCCACCTTCCTAACCTAAGGCGGTGAATAATGAGAAAGGCTGATCACTGGAAAATTTAACTCATACAATTCTTAGTGTCACAGCAAACTCATCCACTGACTTAGTCAGTATGACTTGAACACCCCAGACAATTTAGAGGTATTGTGGGAGTATAAGAAATATCTAGGTACTGTGGTTTTCCTCAGAGACACTTAAAGTATAGAGATGTCACCAGATGCTGAACAGAACTTCACAGCTCATGAAACACTCATATATATATATACAAAGACACTTCAAAAAGCCTGTGGGAAAATTGAAGTAAAAGAGATTGACATTTTTTCATGAACTTTTTGAAGCCCCCTCCAACACACTGATACCCACAACCCTGAAACTTCAGTGAGGCAGCCTCCAAACTACAAATGAGAAAGCAGATACCAACACTTGCACAGTTAAATAGCTAGTAAGTAGTCGAGTCAGAACTCGAATCCTGCTCTCCAGATTTCAAGACCTATGTGATTTCCATGGTAAACGTATTCTCATTCCTTAACAGCAAGGACAAAGAAGGAGAACATCAATGCAGACCTGTGGTAAGAGTTGATATTAATGCTAATAGGACCCTAATTAGCTGGATTTCCTTGTCAGACATTATTTCAGAAGATTATAACGAGTCCATCACACATGTAGCCCCAGACTTGTTGCTGTTAAGTGCTGTTGAGTCGATTCCAACCCATAGCAACCCTGTATAGGGTTTCCAAGGAGCAGCTGGTGAGCTTGAAACGCCGACCAGGCAGTTCAAACAGCTTTTCAGTCTGACGCATTAACCCACAGCGCCACACCAGGACATACCAAATTGCCGTGTGTCTTGCTAGTTTTCTCTGTTGCCCCATACCCGGCTCTTCTCCCTGACATCTAGAACAATCTGCAGCACACAAGAGGCATTCAATAAATATGGTCCAAACCAGAAGTCTACATGCTCCTCCTTTTCCTTCAACCTTCATGAGATATGTTGACAACTCTGTCTCAACCTCCCTCTTCCCTGGAGCTTAAGGACCAGGACAAGTAAGTGAGGCTGCCAACTGCTACAATCTCTTCTAACTTTCTGAGGCCAACAGGGAAAGAAGGTAGGGCCGTGTAATCTGCCAGGCTGGTTGGTTTATACTGGTGGGTCATCTGGAGAAAAGACAGATGTGGCAATGCCCAAGAATTTTTCAAAGAGGGAAGTTCTGTTTAACTATTTACCTTCTACTTTTTCCCTTCCCTGCCCAGGTTCCTTCCGTTCCACACCTCACAGTCCAGCCTGCACTTCACTATACTTCCAAGGCCTCCTGTCATCAGATGACTAGAAAAATTCCCTCTCCTGGTCCTGGAAGGGGCCGTGGTGGCACTGCAGGATAAACACTAGACTGCTAACCACACGGTCAGCAGTTCAAGCCCACCAGTTGCTTCTCCAGAGAAACATAAGGCTTTCTGTTCCCATAAAGATTTACAGCCTCCAATCCCTATACAGGGTCGCTATGAGTCAGCACCTACTCCATGACAGTAGGTCACAGCCCACCCATCTGTTCTTCCCTACTTTTGGTTCTGCCTTTGGCCAGAAAGTTCTTTTTATCCCTTAACTTACTTAATGTTTGGGTTTTTTCCTTGTTGTTAGGAGACATTGGGAGTCCTAGTGTAGCACTGTAAGATAAACACTGGTAACCACTCTAAGATAAGGACTGCTAACCACAGGTTGGAGGTTCAAAACTTACCAGCCACTCTTCGGAAACTCTATACAGGGTCACCATGCGTCAGAACTGACTCAACAGCACTTAACAACAATAAGTGTCATTGAGTTAGTTCTGACTCATAGTGACTTTGTGTACAACAGAACAAAATACTGCCTGGTCCTGAGCCAGCTTCACAATTGTTGCTTGAGCCCATTTTTGCTGCTACTGGGCCAATCCATCTCATTGAGGGCCTTCCTCTTTTTCACTGACCCTCTACTTTACCAAACATGATGTCCATCTCCAGGGACTGGTCCTCCTTCATCATTGCTTCTAAGGAGCATTACGGCTACACTTCCTCCAAAACAGATTTATCCTTCTGCCAGTACACAGTATAATATTCTTCATCAACACAATAATTCAAAGGCATCAGTTCTCCATTGCTCTTCCTTATTCATTATCCAGCTTTTGCATGCATATGAGGCAATTGAAAAGATTGGGTTAGGTGCACGCTTGCACGTTCATCTTCAAAGTTGGCATCTTTGCTTTTTAACAAATTTAAGAGGTCATTGTAGCAGATTTGCCCAATGCAATATGTCATTTGGTTTCCTGACTGCTGCTTCCACGGGTGTTAATTGTGAATCCAAATAAACTGAAGGCCTTGACCATTTTAATCTTTCTCCATCTATTGTGATGCTGATTACTGGTACAGTTATGAGGATTTCTATTTTCTTTATGTTGAGGTATAAAGACTGTACTGAAGGGTATAGTCTTTGATTTTCAAGTCCTTATCTTTTCCAACAAGCAAGGTTGTGTCATCTGCATATCTCAGACTGTTAATGAGTCTTCCTCCAATCCTGATGCCATTGTTGTTCTTCATATAATCCAGCTTCTCAGATTATTTGATCAGCAGACAGATTAAGTATGGTGAAAGGATACAACCCTAGTCCATACCTTTTCTGATTTTAAACAATTCAGTATCCTCTTGTTCTGTTCAAATGTCTGCCTCCTGTTCTGTGTACAGCTTCCTCATGAGCACAGTGAAGTGTTCAGGCATTCCCATTCTTCCCAGTGCTACACAGTTTGTTATGACCCACGCATTCGAATGCCTTTGCATAGCCAATGAGACAATGATAAATATCTTTCTAGTATTCTCTGATTTCAGCTTTTTTCCTTGTTGTTAACTACCGTTGTGTCAGTTCTGACTCACAACGCCCCTATATAGGGTTTCTGAGGAACAGCTGGTAGGTTTGAATTGCCCACCTTGTGGTTTGCACTCCAGTGCTGATCCTACAGAGCCATACTAGGAATCCTTAGGCCTACTTAAATTTCTAAACTTTAGTCCTTGTCATTCCCTAACTTGTTCTCTATAACTCTTTTAAGTATGTTTTCTCTTTGTAAAGCAAAAAAAGCCCAAATCAGTTGCTGTCAAGTTAAGACTCATGGTGACCCCATGTGTTTAAGAGCAGAATTGCGAGTCACAGGTTTTCAGTGGGCTGCGGCCTTTCAAAAACAGATCACCAGCCAGGTGGTCCTTTTGAGGAACCTCTGAGTGGTTTTTAAACAGTCAACCTTTCAGTTAGTTGTTAAACGCTTAACTGTTTGTGCCACCCAGGGGCTCTTATATTCTTATAAAAAACTAGCTTATTTTTGTTTAAAAATTTTTTTAACTTTTTATTGTGAACTGAGTGAAAGTTTACAGAGCAGATCATTAGCTTTACCTCCAACAAAGCATACACTTTGCTTCATCTCAATGACTGCAATCCCCTACATGCAACCAGTGACCCCACTTCTCCCTCTGCTTCCTATTTCCATTTCACCATTCTGCCCAACCCCTCTGAACCTTGTCCCCAAGTAAACATTGCCCTTTGATCTTGAATGGCTGACCATTCCATGGAAAGCATATTTCACTAGTGTTACTGCCCCCCACTCCCACCCCCCATATAACTATCCATCATTTGGTTGAAAATTGGGACATGAAGGTGAGTTCCATTCCAGACCTGAAGCATGGCCAAGGACCGTAGTTCCAGGTTCCTCCAGTCTTTTCCTGACCAGTAAGCCCAGCCTTTTCAATAATTTTGATGCACATTGTTTCCCACTCTATCTGGAACCTTCTAATGTGTTCCTTTTTAGAGCAGTTGGCAGTGGTAGCTAGGCACCCTCTAGTTATTCTGGTCTCAGAGTCATGATGACTGATGTTCACGTGCTCCATTAGTCCACTGAGCTAATTGATTCCAAGCATTCTCAAATGTTACCACTCTTCTTTCTTCCACACATGGAGAGGACAATAGTTTTGCACCTTAGATGGCTGCTCATGAACTTTTAAGATTACAGCCATATAAATGTCCTTTAAAAGTTCTTGCCATTTTTCCTCTAATGTACTAACTGTTTTCCTTATCCTTTTCCTAACTGTCTTGTTTTTCCTTTGACAGTTTTCTTTGTTGTGTCCACTAAATCAGAGATGAGGAGTTCAGACCAGTTCCTTCCATTTCCCAATACAAGTACCAATTACGTCTTTCCCTTCTCACACACCTTTCATTCTCTTTCCCCCTTGCTCCTGCTTTGGTATAAGCTGTTGCTTCCTGGCTGCAGGCTCATCACCAATGCTGGCCAGTTGCTTTACCTGGTGCCTCACCTTGTTCCACACTAGCACCTGTTATACCTCTAGACTCATATTTCAAATACACAAATTAATCTATTTCTCTCCTTGGCTGCATAACCTCGGATGGCCTCTCAGTGCCCTCGGTTACAGCCCCAGCACTAGTGCCTCTGGTTTCCTCTCCCACCCTACCCTCCTCTTGTGCTTAG